GTGAGTGTGTGAGTGTGTGTGTGAGTGAGTGAGTGTGTGTGAGTGAGTGTGTGAGTGTGTGTGTGTTTGTGTGTGTCTTTAATCACATTTATTGGAAAGCAATAGAGGTGCTAGCAGACGTTACAGCTGTAAATTGCTTGTAGTGTGTGTGTGTGAGTTGTAAAAGAGGGTCAGCTTATCAGTGGATGTATGTGCTGTTTGCTTTTACATTATTTCAATGGAAAACCTGCAAAACTTTTCAGACTTTTAAAAATCTTGGCTGTTTTGAATGAAATACTGGTTTACCTCTTAAATATACTGCCTGCTATATAATGTACATGTACATTTCAAACAGTATTATGTTACATTGTTGTCACATAACATTGCATGTCTACTTCAGCAGGAAGGATCTAGGAAATAAAAATGTGCAGTACTGTTCAATAGTTTGGAGTCAGTGAGTTTTTATTTAACTTTTTCTTGAAAGAAATTAATAATTTTGTTTAGCAAGGATGCATTAAACTGATCAAAAGTGACATATATAATGTTAATGTTAATGTTGTGCTGTTTGCTTTTACATTATTTCAATGGAAAACCTGCAAAACTTTTCAGACTTTTAAAAATCTTGTCTGTTTTGAATGAAATACTGGTTTACCTCTTAAATATACGTTAATCTGCCTGCTATATAATGTACAGGTACATTTCAAATTCACATTTCATTATGTTACATTGTTGTCACATAACATTGCATGTCTACTTCAGCAGGAAGGATCTAGGAAATAAAAATGTGCAGTACTGTTCAATAGTTTGGAGTCAGTGAGTTTTTATTTAACTTTTTCTTGAAAGAAATTAATAATTTTGTTTAGCAAGGATGCATTAAACTGATCAAAAGTGACATATATAATGTTAATGTTAATGTCCACAAAAATATTGGGCAGCTCAACTGTTTTCAACATTGATAATAATCAGAAATGTTTCTTGAGCTGCAAATCAGCATATTAGAATGATTTCTGAAGATCATGTGACACTGAAGACTGGAGTAATGATGCTGAAAATACAGCTGCGCATCACAGAAAGACATTACAGTTTAACAGATATTCAAATAGAAAGCAGTTATTTTAAATTGTAATAATATTTCACAATATTACTGTTTGCACTGTATTTTCGATCAAATAAATGCAGCCTTGGTGAGCACAAGAGACTTGACAAGCCCAAACTTTTGAACAGTAGCATAGTAGGTAATCAAGGTATTCAGTATGCATACTGAAAAGTTGCTTACTGCGCACAGTATGCATGTTGCGTCCGGCAAATTAAGTCGAAGTAGTACCGTGGTGTGTTCCGGACATTATGTCTAATAAGCACTGTGCTGAAAATTCCTCTCTCTTTTCTCCTGCAGGCGAACTCTCCACCAGTGGTGGTAAATACAGACACACTGGATGGCTCACCGTATGTAAGTACTATGCATATTTTAGTCTTTAGATCTAGAAATTACTAGTGGTGCAGACAGGAATGATACCTCAAACCAAGAATACCCAGACAATGATAATAATAATGCCTTGGCAGCCACCCACAGTGCCCTTGTTGCAGCTTACAACACCCTAGCAATCACATATCAAGTGATTTGGGTTTTGGGTCTGTGTTTTATTTGTACGTTTTGTTGATTCTGGAACCTATCCAAAAACAGTCATAACCCACTGAATCTAACCCTAACCATAACTTATCCTAAATAACAGGCAGATAAGAATGGTGTAGAAGTCCCTAACTCTAAACTTGACATTAACTGTAAACTTAACTCGCAGTTCTGATTGATTGGAATGTTTTACCATGATCGACAGGGATTTTGTTCTACTTGGTGAAATCACATTCACACGAGTTTTGAGCAGTCAAGCAACACTTCATATTTTCTTCAGATAACGTAAAAGTCTAGTTATGCATTTGAACACTTGTAAAATAAAGAAAATAAATGCATTGCCCAAAACTGTAGGAATGGAAGTCCCACCTTTCAGTAAAAAGAGTCGGTTTCTTTTAATGCTATATTTGCATGTCTATTACTGTGTAATGCATGTCTTAAGCTGATGTCTTCAAGGGACTCACATCGCATGTGTTGTCTTGTAGGTCAATGGAGCAGAAGGAGAGATCGAATATGAAGAGATCACGTTGGAAAGGGTAAATCTTACAAACAAGTACAGTGCTGTATTATTTAACATAGGTCTTTCTATGTATGGGTGGGTGCCTAAGGTATTTTTAATATGAAGTACTAATTTGTAAGAGTGAGATTTTACATAACCGTTGTGAAAAAAGAAGTATGCTTAATTATATTGAATGTGTACCTCAAATCTTATAAGTATATTTGGTAACACTTTATTTTAAGGTGTCCTTGTTACACGTTACATGTTCTTACTATTATAACAACAATTAATTATGCATAATTAAATAAAAAGCCAAACCCTAACCATATAGTAAATATATGTAGTTAATTAATATTACTCAGTACTTAAATGTATAATTACACTGTAACAAGGACACCTTAAAATAAAGTTTAACCCAGATTTTTAATTCATAAAATGTATTCATATGATATGTAAATGTAATTATAAAGCAGTAAAGCAATTAAAAATAACAGCAGGCTTTTGAAACATTTTGACATGGTAACATGTGAATCGTGTATCACGTTTAAATCCATGCATTACAAAAACATTTTTACAAAACTGTATTTGCAAATGATATAATCTGAATTAAATAGGCCACTAACTTAAAGAGACACTTTGGTGGCTGTTTCTTAGTAGACCTTCAAAAAGTGCACTTCGTAATGCTGTCAAATTAAAAGGTTTCCTTTAAAGTACATTTTAAATCATTATGTTTTAATAATCTTTTGTTGATTATTAAGGAAGCATACTTATGTTGATGTATTGACTAACATACTTAAGTACTTGATTGTAATTTAAATACATGGCATACAAGTTTCAATAGAAATGACATGGAAGTATATTTTATTTTACAATAAAAACTTTTCAGTACAAGTACAAGACAATCAAAATAATTATGAAATTACATATAAAGATGTAATTAGGGGGATTCAAAAGCACTCTTAAGTTCACCTCATTGCATTTAATATAAACTTTAATACAGTTTCATTTAAGTGTCTGAAAACATTAGATTCAGGTCACACTTAACTATATATTTCTGTATATAATTATTAAGTATATTAAGCATATTATTTCCGTACTATTCTTTTTCCACAAAGTATTCTATCAATAAATGACATGTTTCAGTGTTAATAAATTGCATTTGACATCTAAAGCGAAATTAATGCATGTGAATATATGTTGGCACCCATAGCAGAGCTTCTTATATATTTCTGTATATAATTATTAAGTATATTAAGCATATTATTTCAGTACTATTCTTTTTCACAATGGATTCTATCAATAAATGACATGTTTCAGTGTTAATAAATTGCATTTGACATCTAAAGCGAAATTAATGCATGTGAATATATGTTGGCACCCATAGCAGAGCTTCAGTTTATGTGAATGAGAGACTGTCATTCTGTTGAACGAGCTGGACGTGTGTGTGTGTGTGTGTGTGTCTAGGGGAACTCTGGGCTAGGCTTCAGTATCGCCGGAGGGACTGATAACCCTCATGTCGGAGACGACCCCAGCATCTTCATCACCAAGATCATTCCAGGAGGAGCCGCCGCACAAGACGGGAGACTCAGGTAACACACAGTCTGCATGTGGATTGAATATACAGTGAATATACAGTAAAAAGTATTTAGGAGCTTAAGTGATGTTTACAAATGTATGAATGTCATTGCATTAGGGTAACATTGATTTTTCATATTAGAAAACCTTTTTGTGAAATATACCTTTCTTTGAAATGAATGCCACGTATCTAACACAATGACATTCATATGTGACCCTGGAGCACAAAACCAGTCATAAGGGTCAATTTCTCGAAATTGTTATTTATATATAATCTGAAAGCTGAATAAATAAGCTTTCAATTGATGTATGGTTTGTTAGGATCGGACAATATTTGGCTGAGATACAACTATTAGAAAATCTGGAATCTGAGGGTGCAAAAAAATCAAAATATTGAGAAAGTCGCCTTTAAAGTTGTCCGAATGAAGTTCTTAGCTATGCATATTACTAATCAAAAATTAAGTTCTGATATATTTACAGTAGGAAATTTACAAAATATCTTCATGGAACATGATCTTTACTTAATATCCTAATGATTTTTGACATAAAAAAAAAACGATAATTGTGACCCATACAATGTATTGTTGGCTATTGCTACAAATATACCCCAGCGACTTAACACTGCTTTTGTGCTCCAGGGTCACATATATTATAATTGTGACTTAAGTAGGGCTGCACAATGAATCATATTTTATTATGATTCTCTTGATTTATTAAGCATGATCGTCTGCGATATTTGCTCACTGGTTATGTATACTAAAAATGCGCTTTTTTAATTTGGCATTTGCGTTATCTTGCAATGGTAACAAGCCTCCACAAGCTTTCATGGTTGTGGTTGCCAGATGTCAAGAGTTTAAATCCCCAATCAGAGCTTTTTCTTTTCTTAAATGGACGCATTTTGTGCCTAGCGGTTTACTTAATCTTCCCAATCTGGCAACCGCACATGCTCTCTCCACATTATGGAAAAAGCGTAATAAAATGTAAAATGCTAAAATAAAAGTGTAGTACAGCCAGTCTGTTTCTTTCACAGCCATTTGTGCTGTTTGCCGCAACTAAATCTGTGCAATATTATGCGAAAGTGCAATAATTCTGATGAAATGTAGAAAAAATAAATATATATATTTTCAGCAAAATAATCGGGATTAACCATTTATAGACTTAATTTCATGGTCACTGTATGCATACTGTATATGCTCACATTTATAATCACATACTCACAGTTAAATATCTCAGTGGATGTACTAGTGATGCATTTATAATGGGACCAGCTGGGGTTCCTGCTAACAAATGCAGTTTTACCCCAGAGCTTTCTAGCACATCCACACACACACACACACACGCACGTGCGTTTGCACACACATTCACTCACACTGCAGGAGAAATTAAGCAGACAGAAATAACACCGAAAGTGAGAGACAGAAGGAGAAGAGACAGACAGAAATAGCAGAACGGTAAGTTCACCCAAAAATGAAAATTCTGTCATTATTTTCTCACCGTCATGTTGTTACAAATCCGTACGAGTCAGATCTTTTCAGTGATCCAATTAACAGCGCAGTCTGAGTGATCGGTGCTGGAGTGAAAAAACAGCTCACCGGAGGAGAAGACTGTCAATGAATAATGACTTGTTTCGATCTGTTCATCAAAGTCATACAGGTTTGTAGTGACATGTTGGTTAGTTAATGATGAGAGAACTATTGGCTTTAACCACTCAGACAGTCAAACTGTGAAAGCTGATGGACTGTCAGCTGTTTTATGCTGTCCTCTGCTCTTCTCTTCTCTGCAGACAGTCGGGCTTCATTACTTATGGTGGTGCTGGGAGCAAATGCACTGTAGTTTAGAAAGACAGAAACCGTTTGTCTTTCCCCTCCACAGTAATGATTTCACTGGAGAAGGAGAATACTCGCTGTTTCAGAGTTAATCTGATACTTTGAAGAGATACTTTGTGTGTCTTCATTGCAGCTTTTTTAAAAAGAATAATCTGGATCCTTCAATTCTGTCTAATTTCAGACCTATTTCTAAACTCCCCTCTTTATCTCCCCACCCCAGACCTGTACGTCATCTTGTGTTTGACAAACATTATACAGGGCAACAACTCACTGCGTGATGTAGCCTATAAAACGCAGTTATGTGCCCCTAAAATTCAAGATATTGGGGCAAAAAAAATGCCCCTGTATGAGTTTTTTCTCATATTTATATCATATTTGTCCCGAACAGCATGAGTGCAAATGTGATTTTAAACAACAGTTCAGTAAATGTTAATTTTAAATATATGCACATTGGCACTTCTGAAAGCTAAGCAATATTTGTGATGTTCTGTCGAGCTGTCAGATGGTGTTGAGCTCTGTGTGAAAACGCTCTGCTTTAGAAAAGAGCAGGTAAAAAGAGAACATGTTGTAGTTTTTTATTGATGTTGTATTAAACAATTCACATGTACCCTAACCCTCATGTTGTTCTTAACCCATATCATTTTCTTCTTCTGTGGAACACAAAAGAAGACGTTTTGTAAAATGTCCTGGCTGCTCTCTTTCGCGTAAAATGAAAGTGAATTGAGCCTGGTGCTGTTGAACTCTGCTAAGGACAAAATGTACTATAAAATGACTCATGTACTATAAAACGAATCAATTCAATAGCTTTGTGTGAAGAACAAGACAACAGAAACAAATGTCATGAGAGAACACAAAGCACGTGGTGCTTCACAAAGTGTTTCATTTCTAAACCAGCATATCAATTTTGTAATGTAGGTTCAGTTTTAATAACAGACGTGTATTATGAAAAACAGAAAGTGATATAGTGCATTGATTCAGTCACTGAAAACGTTCAGCCATAGACGCTATAAAATACCTCTTTTTCAGTTTGCAACAGAAAGAGAAAATATGCCAAAACCCATAAATTAAGCGTTAGCGTTAGTTCTGGCAGGTCACGTGAGTCAAGCTTGCATCAGCTGATTCTCAGCTGATCACATCTACCTATAGGAATATGACACCTATAGCGGCATTCCTATATAAGCTCTATTCAGTATTATTCAGCAGCTTTTCAGCTTGCTCCGGAGCAAATTACCCTCCTCCATCCCCAGCTCCTCCTTTCGCCACAGTCAGGACTTGGCTTTCTGATATTCCTTGCTAATCAGACTCCTTTATCTTGAATAAAGTGTTACACTTAAATATCATTAAGTACATTAATGATATCTGCCTTGTTCTGTTCTGTTAACCCTAGGGGGGTTATTATTGCTGCTCTCCCTGCTCATTCATGACAGGCTGCATGGATGGGCAGGGAGGTTTTTGCCCAGAACAGAACCATACCGCCAAACCAAACTTTATGCTAAGTATCTATCATTTTGACGATAGTGGTCCTGACAGAAATGGTTCTTCTATGGCATCGCTTGAAGAACCTTTTGAAGCACCTTTATTTTTAACTCTGAAATCTCTGCTTTATGTTTCTGCATGACAGCACAGCTAGCGCTGCATTGGCACTTCTGAAAGCTAAGCAATATTTGTGATGTTCTGTCGAGTTGTCAGATGGTGTTAAGCTCTGTGTGAAAACGCTCTGCTTTAGAAAAGAGCAGGTAAAAAGAGAACATGTTGTAGTTTTTTATTGATGTTGTATTAAACAATTCACATGTACCCTAACCCTCATGTTGTTCTTAACCCATATCATTTTCTTCTTCTGTGGAACACAAAAGAAGACGTTTTGTAAAATGTCCTGGCTGCTCTCTTTCGCGTAAAATGAAAGTGAATTGAGCCTGGTGCTGTTGAACTCTGCTAAGGACAAAATGTACTATAAAATGACTCATGTACTATAAAACGAATCAATTCAATAGCTTTGTGTGAAGAACAAGACAACAGAAACAAATGTCATGAGAGAACACAAAGCACGTGGTGCTTCACAAAGTGTTTCATTTCTAAACCAGCATATCAATTTTGTAATGTAGGTTCAGTTTTAATAACAGACGTGTATTATGAAAAACAGAAAGTGATATAGTGCATTGATTCAGTCACTGAAAACGTTCAGCCATAGACGCTATAAAATACCTCTTTTTCAGTTTGCAACAGAAAGAGAAAATATGCCAAAACCCTTCTGTTCATTAGAAGCACGTGCTGCAGTTTTGTCGTCTGCACACTAAATGCTTGAGCTCTTTAAAGGCATAGTTCTCCTAAAAATGAAAGTTCTGTCATCATTTCCCCACCCTCCACTTGTTCCAAACCTGTACGAGTTTCTTTTCTTCTGTCGAGCACAAAAGAAGATGCTTTGAAGAATGTTGTCGGTTGACGGTAGCCATTGACTTCCATAGTATTTTTTTTCCCCCACACTGTGGAAGTCAATGGCTACTATGAACTGTTTTGTCAGAAAAGCATCCAAAGTGCATCTTTTTAACGAAGAACTGAAAGCTCTGTTTGTGAAGAGATATGCCACCCCTGTCGTTTCTGTCTCAGGGCTAGGCTTTAGTATAGCGGGTGGTGTGGGGAACCAGCACATCCCTGGAGACAACAGCATTTATGTCACAAAGATCATCGAGGGAGGAGCGGCTCATAAGGACGGGCGACTACAGATCGGTGATAAGATACTGGCGGTAAGACGACACATGTACATCATTGCTGAGGACTGACATGTGTAAAGATAGACTGTATTAGACACTTCAATGCCGCCACCAGCTGCTCACAGGAGGAACTACAGGCATTTATCTGATTTAGCCTTCACTTTGATTTACATGCATCCCTGAAAATGTTCTATTTTATTTGTTGCCACTAGTGATGCAGAAATTGCACACTGCAACTTTAAACACAGCTTTAAAGTATAAAGTAACTGTCCATAAAGCACAGTTCTTACATTTCTGCTTTTAACTTGGCATGGAAAAAGAAGTGCACTTTGATGCCCTTTGTGGACTTAACTTTAGTACGTCTTTATAAGTAATTTCATAATTAATTCTATTGTCTTTGCAGCTGAATGTACTGACAGACATTTATGGGAAACTAAAATATGCTTTAAATATATTTGGAGCTATACATTTGTAATGG